GAAAAATATAAAACTGCTTTGTGATTGTCAACCAGTGAAACAGTCAAGTAGATCTGTGTAGCTTTATATGTTTGAATAATATAAAACTACTTTGTGACTGTCACCCAGTGAAACGATCAAGTAGACCTGTGTAGCTTTACACTGTTTGAATAATATAAAACTACTTTGTGATTGTCAGCCAGTGAAACGTTCAACCAGACTTATTTAGCTTTACACTGTTTGAATAATATAAAACTACTTTGTGATTGTCAACCAGTGAAACGATCAAGTAGATCTGTGTAGCTTTATATGTTTGAATAATATAAAACTACTTTGTGACTGTCACCCAGTGAAATGATCAACCAGACCTATGTAGCTTTATATGTTTGAATAATATAAAACTACTTTGTGACTGTCACCCAGTGAAACGATCAAGTAGATCTGTGTAGCTTTATATGTTTGAATAATATAAAAATGACTTTGTGACTGTCAACCAGTGAAATGATCAAGTAGACCTATGTAGCTTTGTATGTTTGAATAATATAAAACTACTTTGTGACTGTCAACCAGTGAAATGATCAAGTAGACCTGTGTAGTTTTACACTGTTTGAATAATATAAAACTTCTTTGTGACTGTCACCCAGTGAAATGATCAAAGAAATAAAACAAAGTTACATTTTTGGTTTACATTTGTGAATTATACACATTAAGTTTAAGGATAAGAACCTGTTTTTACCATCATGGTATCTCTCATTTCTGAGTTTGAGATTAAAGTTTGTTCCTCTTTTGTTAGGTACCCACTAGTAGCCTAGTTTGTTAGTATGAGTAACAGTGAGTTCTTGCCAGTCATAATTTTGAGACTTTCTCAAGGCTAACATCTCATCATTGAGTGGTGTGAAAAACTGTGAATGAGGAAACAGTTAGTAATTTATTTGTACATGTTTTTTAAAGCAGACATCTTGTGGACCATGTTGCATGAAACGCTAGTGGTTTCTGACACACTTTCTTATTTCTTTTTTTCTTGCGTGATTGATCCCGTGTTCTGCACGTAACTTTTTCCTGACCTAACCAAACATTGTAGACAGTGACAGTGAAACAGAAAATGAACATTTTCCGAAGGGTGAGAACGGTATGAATTATATCAAAAACAAATTATTAACTAATGTTTTGTTTTCTGTTTTAGTAAGTATGGCTATTTTTGTTTCAGAAAAACTATGTACAGTTAAAGGAATCAGTGTTTGTTTTATGAATTCTAGTCATAAGGTGTGTAATGAGTTCAACTTTTGGTTTCTCAAACAACAATGTTGTTGTATGTAACCATTCAAGTTATGTAAGTTTCATAAAAAATATGTGTAGAAAGCAGCACAGAAATATGGATCATTTTTTATTCCGTAAGTAATTTAATGAAATTTTTTCCTTCATTTTCTTCTATCACAATGTATTAGCTATCTAGAGTGTACGGGCAGCTTCTTGATAAATTCACCAGTGCTTATGTTTAAAAACAGTATATAATAGAATGGGAGTGTATGAAGGCCAGCATATTTACACACTTAGAGATTGCTGTAAGTTAAAATGTGTTTGCTATACACATTTTAATATTGTTTGAGTTACTTCACTTTATGTTTGCCACTATATTTTGTCTTTGGTCTGCTGAAGTTCACTGTTTAACCCTATTGCCCCAGGTACCCTTTACTGCACATGACACAAGGTTTGTGTCTTACATTCAAAATTTTATTAAACTACTTTATATTAGCTTAGCTAATAGTTCATATTTTAATAGTATACAAGTTTTAAGTTCTTAATTGTACAAGGCAATATTTAAAAAAATCCTGAATTTACCATAGTGTGACCCACATGACACATTTTTTCTTAGCATGTCATCATCCCTATTTTATCCTCCACCTCTCGAAAAAGTACAAAATTAAGTGTAAAATAAAATCATTATTGCTCAAACAAACCATAATTTTTATAGCCTTCAATTTTGTTTGGTTACAGAACTATCGATTAGAAAATCGGACCCCTCCTGCCACACCCACCTGTCACATCCTCTCTTTCACAATTCGTTGATAGTTCTGTCTTACGTTTCATTATATATGACCTATAACAGTAGAAAGTCAAGGTTTACATCTACCAAATGGCGTATTGTATAATGATGTGTTCTAAACAGATAATAGTCAATTTCACTCAGAGTAGCAACATCGTTCCCATGGGAAAGTTAACGACTAGCTTGGATGAATTCGTAACGGCTCTTGTCGCATAGTTAGAAAGCCTGAAAATTTTGAGAGTTAGGAGATATTGTCTACTTTTTGCATGTTAGTATTATATGTTCTTTGATGCATTATTTAATTAAATACAAATTATTTGGTGTGTTACTACCATTATTATAAAAAAGTAGGCTTTACTATCAACAATCGAGAGCAAGAAAAAAGAAGATTAGGTGAGTATGTTATTTCTTGTTTTTTGTATTTATTCTTCATTTATTATTATCAATGTAACTAAAATTAAAAGTACGGATCTTTTTAAGTTATTTAAGACTAGATTAGGTAAAATAAGCAATAATAATAATATAATTAAAATGGCTCATGAGGCATGTACTCGTGCAGCTCATAGTAGCTCTTGGGTAATGTAATTAGTTAGCATAACGTGACCTGCACATTCCCTGAGTGATTTACAACTTATAATGGCATGGATAGTTGTTAGACATGGTTCAAAGGGCAATAAAACAATAAAATTTAATTATAAATAGATATATACTGTTATAAACTTAAAGCTACTTAGGATAAACAAATGTAGTTTCATGTTACAATTTCAAGTCATTCTAGAAAGAAAAAAAAGGTTAATTTAGATTTTATTTTTTGGTGGTTACGAATGTGGTCGAATTGACCCATCCTGTTTTGAGATAAGGTAGAGCAAATAACAGATAAACTATAAAGTTTTACTGAAAAAAAAACGTTTGAAATACATTTAGGAAGTTTTAGGGATTACACAAAGGAAATTAGAGATTTTTGAGATGAGGAAAAGTATTTTCAATATTAACATAAAAATTACTTTGTACACAGACTATTCAAAACAAATACTTAATATATTAATGGAGAAATCTTTATTTTATTAAAAATACTTCACTAAAAATAAAATTTTTTGCATGTGAAAGACTTGTAATATTAACTGAAAGACTGCCAAATTTTGTGAAGATATACACACTATGTTATTTTTGTGTCTTGGTCTGCTGAAGTTGGCTGTATTTGTGAAATATCTTAGTGAAGGTACCTAAAGTTTTACAGGGAATTTTTATGTCTTGGTTTGCTGAAGTTGTCTGTAGTTGTGAAACATGTTAGTTAAGGTACCTTAAGTTTTCCAAGGAACTTTTGTGTCTTGGTCTGCTGAAGTTGGCTGTATTTGTGAAATATGTTAGTGAAGGTACCTTAAGTTTTCCAAGGAATTTTTATGTGTTAGGTCTACTGAAGTTGGCTGTATTTGTGAAACATGTTAGTGAAGGTACCTTATGTTTCTCATATGGACTTTAGTACCATAGGGCAGTTGAATTAGAACTGTGAGACTGATAATTTTCATTCTGTGTTTGGTCTTTCGAAATATTATTTTGAAGAGTATCTTAATGAATATTACGGTACAAGAATCATATTGAATATCAAGGGGCATATTCCCTAAAATGGGTACTTGTCATGGACAATGTTGGGCAACCTTCTGTGGTCAGTTTGAACCTTAAGTTAACCATCACTCGCACTAATAATGGATATTTACACAAATTTATAGACACAAACTTGAAAAGTGGAAGTACACACCACTAATACCAGGGTTTGAAATTAGCTGCATTTACCCCACAAAAAGCAGGTTCTAGTGTTTAGCCAGTGGCCATTAAGGAACACCATTATTTTGTTTATAATCCAAGCATGATTATGAATATTTGGAACAGTTATAAACCATGGTTAAAAGTACTTAACAAAAGACAGTTGGCCGCAAGCACAGCTTTTATAGGAGAACTTACCACACTACGATAATCAGTTAATAAGCCTTTTTTGGTAGATTGTTGGTCATTGTTGTGTTGCATTTTTTGGTGGGATTTCCCACGTTTGAAATACCAAGTAAACATATACAAGTGATAAGTGAGCTTTATTTTTATTTATCTTTTCTGTTTAACGTTAGAAAATGTAATTATTATTATTATTACGAATATAGATCTAAAATGTGATAGTATATTAAAAATATATGTTGGTCTTTCTGGAAATCAACATAAGATAACTTGGTGTCTGCTAAGAACACACAACTCAGAACTTGTTTTTTTGTTTGTTGCCAGTGTGGTGGCACTTTTACAAGTAACTTTTATAGTGATATTTGCCAGTTTGGTTGACACTTTTGTGAGTACTTTTATAGTAATGTTTTCCAGTGTTGTGGCACTTTTACAAGTAACTTATACAGTAACATTTGCCAGTTTGGTTGACACTTTTGCGAGTAACTTTTATAGTAATGTTTTCCAGTGTGGTGGCACTTTTACAAGTAACTTGTATAGTAACATTTGCCAGTTTGGTTGACACTTTTGTATGTAACTTATACAGTAACATTTGCCAGTTTGGTTGACACTTTTGCGAGTAACTTTTATAGTAATGTTAATGTTTTCCAGTGTGGTGGCACTTTTACAAGTAACTTTTATAGTGACATTTGCCAGTTTGGTTGACACTTTTGCGAGTAACTTTTATAGTAATGTTTTCCAGTGTGGTGGCACTTTTACAAGTAACTTTTATTGTGACATTTGCCAGTTTGGTTGACACTTTTATATGTAACTTATACAGTAACATTTGCCAGTTTGGTTGACACTTTTATATGTAACTTATACAGTAACATTTGCCAGTTTGGTTGACACTTTTATATGTAACTTATACAGTAACATTTGCCAGTTTGGTTGACACTTTTACAAGTAACTTATACAGTAACATTTGCCAGTTTGGTTGACACTTTTGCGAGTAACTTTTATAGTAATGTTTTCCAGTGTTGTGGCACTTTTACAAGTAACTTTTATAGTGACATTTGCCAGTTTGGTTGAAACTTTTGTGAGTAACTTTTATAGTAATGTTTTCCAGTGTTGTGGCACTTTTACAAGTAACTTTTATTGTGACATTTGCCAGTTTGGTTGACACTTTTGCAAGTAACTTGTATAGTAACATTTGTCAGTGTGGCTGGCACTTTTGTAAGTAAGTTTTACAGAAACATTTGTCACTGGCTAAGAAGGTTAGTTTCAAGTCCTAGTCTTACTTCAGAAACTTTATATCATAGTTATTATTTTTAATGGGGAAAAAAAGCCATTACATGGTTAATATTTAATAAAAATGATTTCATTATATTTCAGGTAATTTGTGTATTGAAAATTTTGTCAGTGGTGTGTCTCTAAAACTATAATTATTAAATACCAGAAACATTTTTATATTACTCTTTCTTGCTATAATAGAAGTATTGAAACAAGTGGAAACTGTAATAGCTGTAGATTGATCATTTAAATATCCTTTTATTTACTGTCAGTATTGTAATGTTTGTTTATGTAGGACCTTTGTAGAGCAAAGTTTATGCTTGTTATTTAAACACAAATCATACGCGTGTTTTGTATGCTTGTTATTTAAACACAAATCATACACGTGTTTTGTATGCTTGTTATTTAAACACAAAATCATACACGTGTTTTGTATGCTTGTTATTTAAACACAAATCATACACGTGTTTTGTATGATTGTTATTTAAACACAAATCATACACGTGTTTTGTGTGCTTGTTATTTAAACACATCATACATGTGTTATGTATGCTTGTTATTTAAACACATCATACATGTGTTTTGTATGCTTGTTATTTAAACACAAATCATACATGTGTTATGTTTCTGGTTAAGTGCATACAGAAGTGATTAATTGAAACTATAGATAGTAATTCAGTCATGTACATTCATACAGTAACTAGCAGAATACTGTAAATATGTTTGGGTTTCATTCAACTCGTTTGTGTTGTTCATTTTATGTTCTTCAGGAATTGTTGATCATAGCTTGTACCAAAAATTACTGTTGTAATACAGTATTGTAAAATTTAAAGTTGGCAGTATGTGGTTTGCACGGACTTGAGGCTTCCCGGCTAAAGTATTAATGACTACTTTTATTGGTGTTTTGCCCCACAACCATCTATCTATGAAAAAAGAATTATAAGACACTAGAATAAGTTATAATGTTATTGTTAAAGCTACAATATTATTATTAAACATGGGTAGAATTTGATAATTTATAAATAATTGTCAAATAGGAAGACAAATTTATCACTTCCAGGAATGTTACGTTTCAATCATGAATAAAGATACATTGGTACATAGAAATGTTCGTGATAATTAACTTTGTCAGTGATGGTTATGAGTTATCAAAGAAAGTCTTCTTTGTCTTCAATTATTATAGGTCCAAATATATGTATATTAGAGTTATATATAATCAGTTTCAAGTTAATATCTGCCATTTATAATTATAGCAGTTAATTATTACATCTGTGTTGTTATTTTAAATATTACTGATAATATTCTGACTAACACTTATTTTCCTTTTTCTTCCTTATCCTTGGTCGAACCACAATAGTTACTGACAACTTCTTTGGTAAGCATGCTTCTTCAGGTTTTCTTTAAATAAATGTTAACTTTACAATTTCATATACTTTCTATCTTACTAATAATGTGCCCTTTCAAACCTTTTTAACATGTTTTTTATTTCACTCCAAAGTTAAAAGTTCTAATGTGAACCAAATATTAATAGAAAACAGTGAGAGGAACATAACAAAATTTACATTATTTAACTTTACATCATAGAATTGTTTGTTTCTTTCATGATTCCAGTATTTTTCAACAGATTCAAGAGAAGCTGTAATGTCACATTAATTTTCAGTGTTACAGCTTTTATGGAGATGATGTGATTAAAGAAGTTAACTATGGTATTAACTTTTATAAAAAGTGTACAAAGAATGAGACTTAAATAATACCCTATACTTACTATATATTAGTATGTACTTTGTTAACAAGTAATTATCAGTTGAAAGATACTTTGTTGTGTATTCTTATGGTTTGAAGACACAAAATGTTGAGTGTATAGTTCAACAATAGAAGACACAATGTTAAATATATATAGTTCAACAATAAAAGACAGAGAACAGTATATCTGTAGTTCAACAATAGAAGACACAATGTTAAATATATATAGTTCAACAATAAAAGACACAGAACAGTATATCTGTAGTTCAACAATAGAAGACACAGAACAGTATATCTGTAGTTCAACAATAGAAGACA